TCTTGCACTGTCTCTGCGCTGTTGGTTGTTTTTTCTTTCCAAATGAGCAGCCTGAACTTTATGCTTTTCTCATCCCCGCTTCCTTGAGCAGGCTGGAAATAATGATAACAGTGCAAGGCAATCTTTAATTGGAGGCATTAAAGCCAATCATCACTGCTAGTGTCAATTTGAGTAGATGCTGTGATTTATTCCTTAGTAATAATAAGTAGCTGACTAAGGAAGGGCGAGGAAAAAATGTTGACAGATTATTTTTGTCTTCTGTCAGCACCAGAGTATGAACTTGGATTCTTCCAGTTGTGCCTTTTCCTGACGTGGGTCTGTGTGACTGCTCCTATAGAAAGCAGCATGGGCATAGCTTTACGAAGCGTCTGCTTTTCTTGCTACTCCTCAAAGTAGCAACATGGCCCCATTCTGCATTCCGTAGAACCACGTGCCTCCTCCCTTGGTGGTTCATGTTCAGTCATATTCAGAGCTTGTGGCTCATCATTTGGAATTTCCATCAGCTCTGCACCGTGGGGCGAAGCTTGACTGAAGTGGGAATGGAAACTTGCTAACAGACATGTGATTGTAAAGTGAATACAGTGCTTGAAATGCCATGATGGTGTGCTAGAGCCCTGGCTGCCTGATGATACTTGTGTCACCAGATGCTGTAGGTATGGGATACTTCTTCATTCTGAGACCCTTTCTATGTCCTATGCTGCATACCAGACAACACATTAAATCACGAGACGTTTTAATCTCATCACACAGACAGACTGGATCAACATATTTACTGACCACCTCTGGACCCGGTTTTCCTCCTGTAATCACAGAGCAGTTTGCTTTGTGGGCAGCTGTTCGCTGCTCCTGGAGATAAAAAGGTGCTGTAAGATGATGTTGCTTTCTGGAGAGGTGTAGTGACTTCATAGATAAGTATGAGATGAGTCGCAGCCTGAGGCAACGCTTGCAGGATGTTTCCCATGAGAAGCAGGCTTTTGCTTTTCTGATTTTTCTTAATCAAATATAGAATGACATGTTTCCCCCACTGTGGAAGGGCTGAGTCTTGAGGCCGGTATGAAAAGCTCCATATCCATGAAGAAAAGCAGATTTTTAGTGCATTAAGTTCAGCAATGAGTTCATGGTAATATTTTTCTTGCTGGCAGACGTATCGCTTTTCTAATATTTCTAAATTAGAATGAGTCTAAAATTATGTCTTCTCCGAATACAAAAGGTTAAAATTAGATGCTATTCTTGTGCTTGCAGCACTCGAGCAGGATGGCTGTTGTGTGCAGGGACACGTGAGAGGACTGCCTTTGAGATGCAGTTGTTTGCAGCTATGGTTTTATTCACAGTCTGGATGCACGGTGATTAATAACATGAAAATGTGATTCACTCTTAATTGGATATGCAGTCGCCTCTCCTCCTGCTAAAGACTTCTCTGTTGTAAATAAAATGAACATCAGTGTGTTTTTAGAGATCTGGCCTTGCAGAGGTGAATTTCCAAGTGTGATTTATAGATTTTTTTTTTAAGGACTACTTTCTAGACATTCCATAACAATTTTGAAATAACTTGTTTCTAAGGATTAGCAGCATCTATTCTAACTGGGGTGACTTCAGTCACTAAACTTCCAAATTCTCTGAAGGCTGTGAGTTCAGGAGTTCAAGGTTGCCTTCTCTAAGAGTCGTGCAAATAGGGATTTCCAGCCGTTCCCCAGATTACTATTACTAAAGCATAGATTTATGTTGAGTTGCTCTTGGTGACCAGCTCTTGTCCTGTTTGATTTTAAATGGCACAGATATTTCTAACAAATTGCATTCCAGCCTGACCACAGGCTCCTGCTGGTCGTCAGCAGTGGCAAGCAAATGCTTCTAGCTCGAGTCAGCAGAACGTTTCTCAATTTCTCCTGCGTTGGCCCTTGTGCCTCCTGCAATGAGGAAAAAAAAAAAACTTCATTGGAAGAGGGTGAGGAAAAGACAGTTGTGTTCAGGATCTTACATGCCTTGAATTTCTGTGACTGTTCCTGGTTTGGCAAGCAGCACGTCTACTGAGTCGGCTGGTTTAAGTGTTTGTTGTCTGGTATGAGGGTTTGAAGTAGTTTTATGGAGCTATTTTTAAAGGTAGAGTTGCAGAGGAGATGTCTTTGAGGTTTTCCTAAAGCATTGAAAGAGGTAAACCTCAAAGTATGTGCAGAGGGGGAGAAGGTGGGAAAGGATTGCTTGGAGAGAGGGTTAAAAAACAGTGTGAAAATGAGTCCTTCTGACTTGAAGAAGCACAAAGTGTGCAGCTGAGTGCCTATTGCCTGGGATTTCCCAAAGGTGGCACCTGGAGTCAGCTCCCCATCCTCTTAAAGCAGAGTTAAAACAGCCCTACTGCTGCCTACAAAGCAAAATGGTGCCTGTTCTGCAACATGCAGACCCCCCCCTGCAGCCACGGCCCTGGTCAGCCAGCCATTGTTTTGGGAGGTGCTTGGTAACCGGGCTCTGTGGAAGTGTTGTGCTCTGTGTGAGCTCTCAAAGCAGCACTTGAACAAAAGCAGATGTGGGGGGTGATGCGTGAGGCTGCCGAGCTGCAAGCTGCTGGCCCTTTGACTAGCAGGACAGCTGGGCTGCACTGCAAGGACACGGGATTGTTCTGCTGTCCTTTGGCTCTGCCTGAATTCTAAGACCCCACGCTTCGTTGCTGTAAATGAACTGTTTATGCTTTATTTCTTATTCCAGTTAAAATGTGGTTTCAGTGGGTTCCATAACTCCGACTTCTTTCCATTATAGAATTGTTCACATTGCAGCAGAAGAATTGTGTTCAATTGGTGTAGTCTTCAGGTGGCTCGTTGGCCATTTACAGCAGCTTTGCAAATGCCTTTCTTTTTTTTCCCACTGGTAGATGTTTCCTTTTGCAGATATCTGTTGGTTGAGCTCTTAACAGGAGGTGATGCTTTGGGACTGCTGGGCCATTCTGAGGATGGTAACCCCATTGGGAGAAGCAGCTCATGGCAAGGAGCTCCCAGAGAAGGCATTTTGTCTTTGCATCCTCTTGGGAGCACAGAGCTTTCTTTACACCACAGTGTGCAGTTTGAGAAGAAACGCTGGCAGTGTTCTGAGTGAAAGCTTGCAAAGAGGATGGGGGAGCTTCGTTACAGCACGGATGATATTTTACTACTGTAAAACTGAAAGTAACAGCCTGCCATCACAGCTGGCTGTAGCTGCACCGTAGTGTGGTTGACCTGCCAAATTTTGTGGAACCGAAAATCATACTTCTTGATTCACACACCGTATCGCCCTGCCTCGGCAGCAAGCTTGTGCTTAATCTCAAGGGAACATAGGAAATGGTCATTTAAACTCAAGTGCGTGGGGATTTCCTCCATGCAAATTTCATGTTCAAGAGACTTCCACTGCCAATTTCTGCAGGTAAAACCCGTGAGTTAAGGAAGATGGCTTAAGAGATCTTTCTCCGTCCCAGGTTGGCTGTCAGACTGGGGAGGGGAAGCAGGGGGTCCAACTCAATTCTGTGAGCTTTAGAACATGGTGGAGGAAAGTTACCAGGTTTGCCATGAATGTACTTTGTGATTTGAGGAGAGTTTCAATCTTTGCCCCTGTCCTCCATGAGTAAAACAGAAATGCACTATTTGTTTAGGTCTGAAATTGCTGGGATGGGGGGGGATCTTGCAGCTGTTAGCAAAAAGGAGTCCATTGTCAGTGTGACTTCTCACAGTGTCTCTGGTACATCTTACAAGTCACTTGTTCGTTCTTCCTTCCATATTGAAATCACTACTTGTGTATCAAGTTCTGGATCTCTTCTTTCTTATTTTACTTCAGTGAACTTCAGAATTTGTATCTCATTGCCATGAAATAAGTTGCTGTGTGGATGTGGCTGTCTAGGTGTTCTGCTCTCTTCCTTGAGGCCTGAAATGCTGGCATGAGTGAACCCAACTAAAATCACCTGCCCTAAGTCTAGGAAAGGCACTGAGGCTTCACCTTTAGTGCTAGGCTGCAGCATCTCACCCTTTCATGTGCAAATGAAGACTGTAAGATTCCCATACCTCAGGTGCTGCATTTCAAAATGAGCTTTGGGAGCCTCAAAAGGGGAAATAGCAGTGTTGGGTTCTATCATACTTTCTCCTTTCCTCATTATTTTACAAGAAATCTGGCTTTGGGAGGTATTAGGCTCCCTTATTGGTCTAATAGACCTCATTTAAAGGGTTTCTCTTCTACACCACCTAATGCTGGGTTCGGAGTATGGAATGTAGCTGTAGGATTGTCTCTTGACTTCTTGTCTATTAAAATAACAGCAGTTCTTTAAGGTTGAAGCAGTTGAATTCTTCAGTCAATACTGATGTTCGTTTTTGGTGGTTTGCCCCAGAAATCCTTCAGTTTAAGGTGGAAAGCAGGAGAAATCCATTTATATGGCATTTAAATAACACCACAGTTTTGATTTACATTTCAGGCTACTTTCAGCAAACAGCAGTGAGGTCACTTTCTGGTACATGCAGAAACAAGGCACGAGTTAAAGTCACAGATCTTTGGAGAAAGATCTAAAAGTTGTGAAGCTCCAGTGGAAGATGTGATAGGCTCTTGTTCAAAAAAAAAAACTTAGGATTTAAATGCTTTCATCCTCTAAAAACAAGAGTAGGGAGAACACCTGCTCCAATAAAGCTGCTGGCTTTAAATGTCTTAATGAGACCATTTAAAAGTTTTGAAAATGTTCCTGTTTTAAGAAGTAAGGATTCTTTCTTTGCCTTGGCAGCACTGTCGTGCTGTCCAATGCCATGGCAGAAACTGAAAGACTCCTTAACATTTTTATTTGATAAGGAAGAATTTTTTGAAAAAGTATTAATAGTTCAGGTGGCACTTGAGGTGGTTTTAGAAAAATTCTGTGTTATTTAACATCATTAATGGCCTAAGTGAGAAATGGTAAGTTTTAGCCTACTTTCTTTGCATCAGAGACAAATGGGTAAATGCAGGTTTTTTTCTTTTAGTCTTTATTACAACTCACATGAAATGCATTTGAAATTATGTTTTTCCAGGGTCCACACATAGCATCAGTTACTCTTGCTGCCTATGAATGTAACTCTGTTAATTTTCCTGAGCCTCCGTACCCGGATCAGATCATCTGCCCTGATGAGGAGGTGAGCGGCGGATCCATCTCTCTGTGGGCGATCATCTCAAAAGTCAGGCTGGAGGCCTGCATGTGGGTAAGGCTTGCTTTAATCTACACACCTGATTTCTCGTTCAGCAACACTCAGCAATTGCTTACTTGAGCCAAATGACGATGGCTTAACGCTGCTGCTCTTACATCTGTGGTACAAAGAGCTGCTTTCCTGATCAATCTTCTCTGCACTGGCTGTGTACTACTGATCCCCTGTAGTATTAATCTTGAAGTTCTGGAAGGACTGACTTATGAACTGCAGTGTTACACTGCATGCAGTTAAGCATTAAACTTCAAAAAATTGGAATTTATATCTTCAGGGAAGTTGCAGATATCCTTATAGAGGATTCAGGCCCTGATACTACAGCTGAGGTGTTTATTCTGGCTTCCATCAATGAATCAGATTAAATACAGTTCTATGTTACGTGTTTTGGTATATTATTTCCTTTTCACTGCCTGTTTCCATCAGGGCAAACTCTTCACTTCAAACAGGAAAAGCAGGTTGGCTTCTAAATGAATCAGGAAATGCTGTCGTTGGAACTTCCTTTCTGTTTCTTTTATTCCCTCTGCAGTTTTTGTATAGTTTGCTTTTTGGATGACTTTGATCAGTCGGTGTCTGTTTCATTCTGGATAGGTGACTTTAAATCCCAGTTTACACAGATGTGTCTGCTGAGAACTGTATGCCAATTCACTTTGTTCTTACTGCTGGATTCCTCTTCTGAGTGACCGTTTAATTCTTAAATTAAATGTCAAATTCAAATGTACAGAGAGGAAATCCTGAAAACAAATAGCATTTGCTGTCTGTCCTCAAGTTCCCAAATACCTCCTCCTGGTATGAAAAGGTATCTTAAGGCAACTTTGGTCACCACAGCTTTTGAAATGATCAGCAGCTCCACTGCCTGCAGGAATGAGGTTCAGGCTGTGCACATCATGGACCCAAGTCATGTCAGACAAAGTAATGTACAGCTCACAGTGTTCATGTGGAGCAATGTACAAATTCCATTGTGATTTTAGTAATGGAAAAAGTGGACTTGGAGCCCTCTCGAGAAGCAAAGTATATCTTAATTTTCAGTCTTTCTAACAGGAGGACAGATTTCCCTGAATGCTTGATGAGTGGCTGGAGGTACAAGTACTTATAAGACCATAAATATAAGCTTTTTTTCTCTTTTTTTATTTTGCTGCTGCTCTGCCTCTGCTCGAGTTTGTTTAATGCAGACAAAAATGGCATTTATAATCGTGTTTCTAGGGTTGCAAAATACAAACGCAACTAAGGGTAAACACGCATTGCTTAATCTTCAGCATCTAGAATAATTGAACAATGATGAGAATTAAGCTCAGAAATGAATTAATGGCACTGCAAGCATTGAAAGCTTGTGTCCTTCAGAGGAGAACAAGCAGTACCTCCAGTCTTTTCTGAGAGCAGCATTTCTTGGTCCAGGCTGTGGAAAGGAGAAAGGCGTTGGAGCAAACCATCCCCCTCCCCTCCTTCCCTTCTCACTTTGGAGTTCCCTGACCACCACCTTTCTGCTGACCTCTGTCTCCACTCACTTTTCCCTCAGGAGCATCCCTGTCTCTCAGTGGTGTCTGGTGTAATGTTATGCTTTCTTGGAATGTTTCATGAATACATAAACATCGCTTGCTAATTTCCTGTAAGCCAGATCACGTTGGCGACTGCTGCTGCTTCTTCCAGTGTGTTTCTTTTGTCCTAATTCCAGTTCATGTTTTATGGAAGCTGTTGAAGAAACTTACTCTGGGTTCTGTTGTATCTAAACCAGATCCCACTGAAATGGAAAGTAACAGCAGCCTCCAGAAAACAAAGCAAGACGAGCTTTTACAACTCAGAACCTTACTAAAAATTCTTGATTTGAATTCATTTTCAGCTTGGAAGTGAAATGGGAAATAGTCAGTGTAATTCCTCATTGAATTTCATTGATTGAACTTTTTTAATGGAAGTGGGAACTTCTAATTGGATGTCAAATCTGAATGTATCAGTGGATAAATGCAAAAGCAAAGCAGTGATTGGATGTGTGCAGATGTGCTCCTTGCACAGCACATGGAGCTCTGTGAGGAAGAGGTGCAATAGCACTGCCAGCTTCTTTCCTTCAGCCTTGTAAAGTGAAACGCTGTCGAAAGGCTGCAGAGTGAGAGCTGGCTGATCTCCCTGATTGTTTGGAAGGAGACAGGAGAGGGGTAAGAATATAAGATTTCATGTAAAATGTTGAAAGCAGGACGGTCCCACCGGGGCATTCTGCAGAGCTCTGCCTGTAAAGCTGCCCAGGCTGAGCATCCTGCAAGGCCTGAGTGCAGGGATTGCAGAAGGGATTGGGTTCAGATCACAAAAACATCAGCATTTGTTCCAGCCAACCTAAACCAGGTACAGCTTTTTCCAGAGATTAAAATCATTACTGCTCCCCTGCACGTCAGTGATTCTCATTTCTGTTGATAATGAGTGCTGCTGGAATTAAATACCACCGTATCTAAGGAATTATTAGGTGAAATGGAAATGATGGTTTTAAAAATCACTATAAAAATTGGCTCCACCAGTCCTGGCCTGCAGAAAGACTCCCCAAAACAATCTGCTAGGTGTATGCCAGTTTTCACAGCCTGCTATCCCACGGGGACAAGGAATTCAATAGTGCCCTACATTTTTAATGTGCTGCAGCTTTCTTTTTTTCTTCTTTTTTCTTTCTTTTTTTTTTTCTTTTTTTACAAGAAAGGAGAGGAAAGAATAAAAACATTTAATTGCTGGGGATTAGCAGAACAGGCAGCCTGTGTCCTGACTGGGACAAAATCAGTTTGAACAACTCTTTCTAGTGGAGTCATTTCCCCATTTCCTTTTCTGAATATACTGTGTAAAAGAATTTTGCTCAGCATCTATTTGCTTTTCCAATTTGCGGCTAGCAGAACTTGCATTCAGTGTTAAACAGAGAGCTAATGTTACAGAAAGCAGTTAAACAGTTACTGGGTTGTATCCTTAATTGCTTGCTTTATTTTTTTTTTCCTTAAACATACTTAGGGAACCTATCTTTGGTAGTCCTGAAATCATATGATATTGCTGCAACTCGGAGATGTTTTGTAATGGGCATGTGACTGATCCACTTTAATGAAAGTTCACGTCCAGTACACGCATGCAAACCTCTTCCTCAGCTAGCAGAACGAAGCCAAGGCGAATTGGCAGAGCCTGGAGGAGCAATGTGACTTTTTGTTCTTGCATCACCCTGAGAACATAACCTCAAGTGAATTTTTCTGAACCATCCTTGCTACTGTGTGCAGGCTGATCTCCCCCCTGTGCCAGCAGCAGGCAGATGAATCAAGTTCAGCTTGTTGCACCCGTTTGAGTTTTTCTGCTGTGGAAGATGAGGCATAAACGTGTGATGTTGTGCTTAAAGGGAGACCTTAGCAGCTGGGGTAATTGCAGGGAACAGTGGGATGGAAAGCCACAACCTGTTGGTTTGGAGTACCCACAGCAGCTGGAATTCTCCCTCACATGCAGCTGCATATAGAGTGGGAACAAAGGAAGTTGAAAGGCTTTGACATAGCTTCAAAGGGATAGAAAAGCATTTGTTACTCCTGACCCTAAGAAAGAAAAGCCATCTGCGTGCAGCTCAGTTTTAGCACTTTTCCAGTGTGCTGCCCGACTATTGTGTGTTACCTGTCCTATATTTAAACTATTCTGAGTTTAATCCAAGTTCCTGTTTCATTAGCCTCTGTTTATCCATATGTTCAGTCTCGGTCGTCTCTCTTTTCTACTCTTTTTCTTTGGTTAAGCTAAAGTTGTATTTACCCTCAAGACTGAAATGAGTCATTTGATGTCTTGAGAAAACAAATATAATTTTCCTGTGGTGAGAAAAGGAACTGTGCTTTCATCTCTGGTTCTCTTGGCTTTCTTTATTCCATCTTAAGGAGAGAGAAATCTGCAGATCGAGCTTTGTTTAACCTTATTTTCCTTGCTCATAGCTGTAGTAAAACTTGACCCTGTTTTCTAATAAACACTTGCACGAGGTCTCATGACTTTGTGAACCGTAAGGAAACTGCATGACAGCACAGGGGAGGAGTTCCCAGATCATTCTGCAGGCTGTGCAGGAGCTGTCACATGCTGGCAAGTGTGCCTGGCTCCGTGCAGGAGGCGAGATGGCCGGGCTGGGTCAGAATGTGGGATGGGGATGGGCTGCAGCACCCCACAGCAGCACACTGCTGGCCCCAGGGCAGGCAGGGCTCACAGCTGTCACCTTGCAGTGTGGTACTCTGCATTGAGAAAAGCTGCATTTCCCTAACATGGGAAAATGGGATCTCAAAGCTGATGGCTTTATATTCAACGTCAGGAAAAAGCTGTCCTGGTGGATGAAAGCAAGCTACTCGAAGGAATTGCTTTCCACAGCTCTGCAGTTATAACATGGCACACGTCTCTGGCTTCTAACGTTTTGAATTGTCTGTGCATATTGCATTTCTCATTTGAGAACAGAAATAAATCTGGATTATTCTTTTCCCAGGGTGCTGGCACAGCCATCGGAGAGCTGCCTCCGTACTTTATGGCGAGGGCGGCCCGACTCTCTGGTGCTGAACCTGATGATGAAGAGTACCAGGAATTTGAGGAGATGCTGGAACATGCAGAGACTGCACAAGTAAGAACAGTGCAAAACAACAGAATTAATAAAACACAGAACTACTAGATGGGAGTAAATAATCATTGCAATGAAATGGGAATAGGCCAAAGATCAGTTGGTGCAAGTACACAAGGGACTTCCCAGGGGTGGAGGGAGATTCTCCATCGGGTAGAGATACTTCTGGGGGTAAGAGATTGAGAATTGAGCTTGTTAAAGCACGTGTGGTAATGCAGCCAAAGCATTTGCTACAAATATTGCATTTATTTACAGTTCCAAAGGCAGCACAGTATGGGTAGAGAGAAAGCAAACTAACAAGTTGGTGACAGAGGAGAGGCTGTAACAACCATGGTTATGGAAAAGCTGTATTTAAAACCTCCCTGGGCCAGGTGACTGTCAGTCAGCTCATCCCTCCCCACATGACCTTGGCTGCTGACAGCCTCATCAGTCAGAGGAAACATATTTTTCCTGATGTGAAAAATGCAGTGAAACTGCCCTGAATCCCTTTATGTTGTTGATCTCGTAATTTGTTCTCTTGAAAGATTAAATACCATTTATGTGATAACATAGTTTGCAACTGATGCTGTACGTCAGTCAGATGTTACAATTCTGCATTCAGGACAGGAGCTTGCATCTTCTTCAGAAGCCATCCACAGCCATTCACTGTTCTGCTAGGGAACTTTCTTGATATAAATAAATGCTTCTCTTCCCCCCTCCTCGATAGTGGATGAAGCTTTTGGAAATACTGAGTGCAATCTAGAACTGCTAACAGTGAACCCTGTGTTTTATGAGAGCCTCCCCCTGCTAAAAAGTTCCATAGGGTTTTCCTGCTATTTCACTAGTAAATTCTTCTGTTTCTTTGAAGATGTAGTGGAAGGGGGGGAAAAAAAACTGCTTTGGTCTTTGTTGTGCTGTCAATCTTTGCTTGGCAAAGTAATCCCCAGCTGTATAAAAAGCACGTCCCATTTAAAGAAAAAACACCAACAGTCAAATGCATGACTTGAGAGCTGAGCTGCTATCTGTGTTTACTGAAACTGTCCCAGCAAATTATATGCACATAAAGCTCTGGGAGCAGCCAGAGCCGTTTCCAGAATGCACAGTGAGATTCTTGGGCAGAACATTTTTGCTAGAGAGTGTTTTATCAGGACAGGCCAAAACGTGGCTGGCTGTACGGACTGCTCTGAGGGAACGGATGGCGTTGTGTCATTCATTAAGGAAAACGGTGCTGTTACTTAACAGTATTTTTGATTTTATTTTCTTGACAATTGAGTTGGGATTGAAACATGTTTTGTGGATGGATAGCCAGAAAAAAAAAATCTTTTTGAACTACACTTGTGGTTTGGTTTCTATAAAATTCTCTTAACATGAGGCTTTGACAGTCTGATTAAATTGTATTACACTTATAAAACTGACAGTTCAGTTTTTTCCACTTAATAACATGACTTCCTTTTGTTTTTTGGCATCGATCGTGTTTTTGCTAGATGTCTGTGGGAGGCAGGCCTGCCTATTCCTATGACCTTGAGTAAATCCCAATTGTTAGCGTAGCTTATCACTATTTGTTCTGTAATTGCAACTCCGTGACCAGTTATAAAGCCTATTTTTAAATAGCTCAATAACAGTCTTTATTACCTGCATCAGCTTGTGCCGTTCTCCAGGTTTAGGTTTTACGCCCGTGAAAGCAGGGAGTGTGACAAGTGTGTCACACCATGGAGGCTGTTTGACGTCAAGTGACAGAAGCCTTCTCTCAGCATAAAGGTCTCACTTCAGCCTGCCTCATTGAAGGGCATGAAATCGGGTGTGTTGGAAGAATAGCCTCCCCCTCTACTTCTGCTGAGTAGAGAATGCCTACAAGGCACAGCCAAACAGCTTGACGTTCTGCCTGCGTGTGTTTTGTTTAGAGCTGCTTGCTGCTGTTTCTCAAGAAACAATGGTAATTTTGAGAACCAGATGAGGATCTTCTATAGTGAGAATAGACCATGAATTGAACATCCAGCCTGACTGATCTTTGAGGGGGGAATGTTCCTGCTAGTTTGGCAGCTTAAAAAACAACCACCAAAAAAAAAAAGGGAGCTTAAAATTTTACACTGTTCATTCCTTTTAGTCCTCCATTCAAAACTGCATGGAGTGAAATATTATTTACTTTACTTTAAAGAGTCTGTTGGGTGATACTGTGTCAATTGTAAATCCAAGTGACCTTTCTCCTTGAGCTGGGTTTTGAGAAAACCCATTATCCTGCAGATGATGTGAGTCTGCCTCATACTTTCCCCATTGCTGTACTTCGGAAAAGCCCCTCATTTTAAAGCACACTCACTTCTCCTTTCCAAGCATCTGTGCATGCTGTAGAACCAGTCCTGTTTGCACACACCGAGCTCCAGAGCTTCTCCTGCCTTGTAGCTGCTCTTGTTGAAATTGAGTGGCTTTGCCCCAGAGAAGGAGTGTGGTTTACAGGCAGGGCTCTTGTTTCTCAGAGCTGCACACAATGCAGAGCCCAGCGTGCTATAGGAGCAGAGCAACTTGCTCTGATTTGTTACTGCTTAGGCAGTGTTTTAGAATTATACATGTTTCAAATGGTGTTCAGTTGCTCTGAACTCTCTTCCAGTCAAACTCCAGAGCAGTGGTGATTTTTAGCAGAGCTCTCCTGTGGCAGTGGGGCATCTCCAGCACTGCGTTCAAACCAACCTCTCAATTAGGGGAAGTGAATCTGCTGCTTAGTGCTGGGGCAGCACATTGCTAATCATACAGTGTGAGCAGAGCTCTGTGCAGCCTCGTGGCCACACACCCGAGTGCAGGGCTTTTCCTTTTCTCCTGATTAATGGTTGCTGATTGTGAAGTGCTCTTGTGTTTTCTTGTGCTGAATGCCATAAGCTGGCAGAGGTTTCTGGTGCACATGGAGCTCAGAGCCAGCTGCCCTCGAGGTTCCTGCTGATGGATGCTGCGTGGGCCTTGCTGTGCCACAGCACTCTTTGCTAAGAGGAGAGAAGTACCAATATCTTTGCTATCTATCTAATCCTTAATGACTCCAAGTGTTTGGATTCATTAAGTAGCATATTCTAAAGAACTAATTATTTACACATTAGGCTTTGCTTCTCTGCAAGCCAAATTTCCACGTGAAAATATTTGAGTTGCCTGTGTTACTATCAGCCCCTGCTGCTTGCTGACTTCCCAGGCTGCATCCTGCTTCTGCAAGGATGCAAACTTGACAAAGGGTTAAATCTGCAGAAATGCCTGGATGCAGCAGGACCCCTGGTAAATGACCCAGTGCCATCTGCACACTGGCTGCCCGTTGTTGCTGGGACCTGTTTTTGCCTCCACTGAACCTTTACTGGTTGTGGTTTGTCTGGCCATCACATGACTTCTCTGAAAATTCCCCCTCCCCTCCATTTCCAGTAAACTGTTTGAACAGGAGTGACTCAGACTGAAACCAGCTTCCCTGTAACCACAGGGCTTGTTAAAGAATTTGTCAACGTGGACTCAAGAGGGTTTGTATTAAACTAAGCTGCAACTGCTTCGGTTTGCATTGCGTCAGGAGTTCCACCAAACAACTTCCTGCTCGGAGAGGCGGCTTCTTGTCTGCAAGGAGTTAAAGAGATGAACTTTGTGATAGTGGCAGTTGGACACATGTGAAAGCCATCTCTGCTGCACTGCTGAGAGGTCCCGTGCCTTGAGCTGGATTGCTTTTCCATGTCCTAATGCAGGTCTGTCAGTGCAGGAGCAGAACAAAGTGCGCTCACCACACCCAGCAGTGGTTACTCCAGCACCCAGCACTGTGTTCCGACACGACACTGTGACTTCACTGAAATGGAATGATTAGGTTCAACTAATCAGCAAAATATTACTTAATTAGCAGTGTAAAGGTGGCCAAATTAAAAAAAAAAAACAACGAATCTCTCCCATGATTAAACTAACAATTAATATCTGGTGAGTTCCTGCTTGGGAAAGACTGCTTGGCTGCTGCTGGTTTAAGCAAAAGCTTTGGAGGGTATTCTTTACGAGAAGGAAGAAGTTAAAGCAGACCACAGAGAGCCTTCTATAAAGCAGTTATCATAAAAATGGAAGTGGTAAAGTCATATACAATAACTGGAAAACATTGACTTCTCTTTTTTTTTTTTTTCCCCAGAAAAAACCTGTTGAAACCCAACATCAAATTCTTTACATCATGTTTCTTGCTCGTTCTTTCAATCTCCCCCTTCTCTCATCAGCTTCCTCTGTTAGGTCTGGGCAGCCTGATAGGTGCCACCATAGGTGTCTGCATGCAGATCAATGTGTGTTTTTGTTAATGCACGGATGGAGGTCTCTCCCCTCCTTATCTTAGCCCATAATTAAATGTAAATTCAAAATGAATCAAACTTTGGAGCTTCAGTGGGTCAGTGAAAGCTTTAAATAGGGAAACTGTTGATAGAGGGACCTTCCTCAGGAGGGAGGGAGCAAAGAGTTAATATGTGCACAGGGCTGACAATGGGAGCTGTGAGTAAGAAATGTGTGAGCAACCTCCTTGCTGCATTTCTTTGGACACTGGCAGGAGAAACTGGCAGCCTTGTGCCTGCATTGTTCTGTTCATTTGCACACCTGCTTACAGATAAGGAAAAACCAGCGTTAGCTTTGCTCGTGGTAACCTGGAGATGACTTTTTCATATTCTTCTTTGAGCTTTTCTTTGTGATACCTCTGTTAGCTAAAACTCACAACCTTCTGCCTTCTTTTAGTGTTCAGTGTGAAAGTACATAAATCAGTCAAAGCATTGAAGAAATCAGGATTGCTTTGCAGTATTTTCACTCAGTGTTTGGCTGTTGGCTCAGAGCAATTCTGTAGTGCCAAATAAGTCACACTGCAACAGAAATTGACCTCTTAAGAAAGAATATACCCAAGTTTATTGTAACTCTTCCATACTGCTTGGTCTAGAACTCTTCTGTTTCACTCTTTCAGAGTCATTTGGGCTTTTTCAGCTTTGTGTGCTTCTCCATAGAGGAGGAACAGTTACTACTTGATAAACCTGTGTGGTACGGGTGAGCTTTTGTGGAGAATT